ATCTGGGCTCGTGTAACCCCGTTACACCCTCTTCCATCAAGATTTACATTTCCTACCGATTATTGCCTCAACGAGGCTCGCGTGTCGATTAGACACTGCAACTCAATATGTTGGAACTTAACAACTTCCTTGCTCAATGAGCCTTGTGTCCATGACACGAAAATCACTAAGTCTCGCTGGTTCTGACAGCGAGCACGGGCAGAGCCCAACTTCGTCCCTCGCACGCAGTGTGATGTCGGACAGTGCGTCCGCGGCACCGGGGGATGTACATCCTAGGCTCGATGAGCACAATCGTCGCGCTTTGCGCACACTATCAATAGCGAGTGATCTCGTTGAGGATGTGGTAGTGGTCGACTACGCGACTGACACTCCTTTTCCCGCATGAGATAACGAGGAAGGCGAGCCGCGCCAGCAGCGTGATACGAGCCCTGCTTGCGCCTTGCGGACCCCATGTCCATTCCCTGACTTCTCGTCAACCGAGGAACGTGGTGTTATCACGAATGACCTCGACGAGTCACGGAGGCAGCAGCTTGAAGCTGTTCACAGGGGCTCTAAAGTGCGCCCATCCACGGTCGGTCTTTGACCCTCGTGTGGAATATGGCTTCCGCCCTGCGAATCCCGCTCTGGAAGCGAAGGACGCAGTAACTCGATCGTCGCCCGTCCAAATTACCGGGCCCCTGGCCAGAACGGATGATGAACTTGCCACACGGAAAGCTCTTCGAGCTCGTTTCTTGATTCCACAAGAATTTTCGTTGGAAGCTTATCGCACTCGTCTGAGTGCTCAACGAGGTGGCTATAGTTTACCCGCAATGCGGACAATACCTGTAGTGCTCGCCCCTGGCGAAAGCGCTACAGATGACGAAGCGCTCTTTGAACGATGGGTGCAACGCCACCGGAAGTTTTCCTCACTGTATAATCTATAGTTGAACGACAAGGAAGTGGACATGCGCGTGGAGCGACACCTCCGTTTGAGTTTGCCAAACTCAAGGCACGCCGTCGACTTCCTTCGGATTGTCGCCCTGCGA